TAGCAGCAGAAGTTACCTAACTGTCAAAAGATCTGTTTATATAAAAAGACAAGCAGAAGAAGCTATGGAAGCTATGACAACTTTGGCTAATATGAATAACTAACTAAATAAATAAATAAATAAATGGGACAGATATAAATAAGTGGGCCAGATCTTTAAAAAGCCAACAAAGTTAGCCACTTAAATGTTTTCACTCAATATAAAAAAAAAAAACACAACAATTCTCTACTTGTTAAATTGGAGGACAAATGACTATTCTTTTTGTTTTTTTAGTCTTAACTGAGTCTAATCCATATTTCTGAATAAGGTAACCCATTGTTGGCACTTAAGTGCTCTTAAATAAAAAGATTTGTTGACTAGTCATAGTTGCGTATTTTAAATGACTTCATCTACTAACCTTTCTAAGTCATCGCCTATATTTGCAGTACTGGCAGCAGTGTCTGAGATTTCTGGATTTTCCTCATTTAATTCATTTAAGTTCTCATCTTGAGCTGCATTTGTACTGTCCTTTTCAGATGCCTGTATCCTGGGCATGATAACTGACAAATCATTTTCTTGGGACTGACTGTTATTTAGCAGTTTTGTCTGTCTGCTTTTCAGGGCTAGTTGTTTAGTTCTCAATTCTTTGCTGTTATTCCTTCATTAGACTTGGACTGAGAAGCAAATATTTCTCTATCAACCAGATTTGCAAACAAGGAATTGAAGCATGTGGTAGTTGTATCTAGTCCATTACCTTCTGCTTTATTGCCATCATTACTAATAAAATCCTCAGGAATAGGAAGATCAAGTCGAATCCATTTTAAGCAGTTCTGAACTTCCTTCTTGTTTCCCAAATTTTCTACTCTACCAATACAATCCTATGTGCCCAGTGCTCCACGTGTCTGATTAATATCTTCATATCTTCAGCCTCTGAGCATCTAACTTAGGCTAATTCCTTTTCACTGTTTTCTTTGTAACTGCAGGCATATCTCCCATCTGATTCCTTCTTGGATCTGTGGTGGACTCATTTTCTCCAGCATCTTCCTTTCCTAGAGAGGCTGGCAGTGGAAAAGATTGAAAAGTTTCATCTTCTGCCACTCGTAATAAGGAATGGCCAGCAAATTGTTCTCCTCTGGTTCCATTATTCCTGTGAGGCTCTGCTAGATTGTAACCAGCCAGGGAAACCAGGCTACCATGTGTCCCATGCCTAAGTTCCTGTTGCCTATACCTATTTTGCCATACTATTTTTCATTTTTCCCAGCAGTTTTGGTAAATAGTGAGTTCTTGTCCAAAAAGCAGGGATCTTAGGGTTTATCAAATACTAGATTATTAGATTATTATGGTCATTACCTACTGTGTCTTGTGTGCCTAATCCATTCCATTGATATACCACTCTATTTAATTCCCTTGATATTCTTGACCTTTTGTTCTTCCTGGGTTTATCTTGGCAGGTAGACTCCCAACTATTTAAAATTGTCTACAGTTATTTTTAAATGTAATTTCTCTTTCTATTTCTTGCTGTTGGGCTTTGTTGGTAATATGTAGAAATGCCGATGCTTTATGTTGGTTTAGTTTATATCCAGTAACTATGCTAAACTTGTTAACGATTTCAACTAGTTTTTAGTTGATTTTCTAGGATTCTCTAAGTATACCATCCTAACAGCTATAAAGAGTGATTGATTTGTATCCACGTTGCCTATTCTAATTCCTTTAATTTCTTTTCTCTTTTTGCTAGAGATAAAATTTCCAGTGCAATATTGAGTAATAGTAGTGATAATGGGAATGCTTGTTTCACCCCTTATCTTATTGAGAAAGTTTCCAGCTTATCCTCATTACAGATAACGCTTGCTGATGGTTTTAGAGAGATACTGTTTATCATTTTAAAGATACCTCCATTTATTCCTATGGTATCTAGTGTTTTTCCTCGGAAAAGGTGCTATATTTTGTCAAAACCTTTTTCTGCATCTCTTAAGATAATCATATGATTTCTGTTGGGTTTATTATTTATATGGTTACTTATGCTGATAGTTTCCCTAATATTGAACCAGCTCTGCATTCTGGGTATAAATCCCACCTGGTCGTAGTATATGATCCTAGTGATATATTGCTGTAATCTCCTTGCTAGTACTTTATTCAAAATATTTGCATCGATATTCATTTGGAAAATTGGTCTTTAGTTTTCTTTCTCTGTCTTGGCTCTTCCAGGACTCCTCCTTTCCTGTTTTCCCAAATAGTTTATATAGGGTTGAAATTAATTGTTCTTTAAATGTTGGATAGTGTTCACTTGTGAGTCCATCTCAGTCTGGGGATTTTTTTTCTTAGGGAGTTCATTGATGGCTTCTTCAATTTCTTTTTCTAAAGTGGGGTTACACATTCTATTTCTTCTTCTGTTATTCTGGACAATTTATATTTTTGAAAATATTCATCCATTTCACTTAGATCACCAGATTTATTGACCTACAGTTGGGTAAAATAGCTCCTAATTATTGCTTTAATTTTTCTTCATTGGTGGTGAATTTGCCCTTTTCATTTTGATACTGGTCATTTGGTTTTTGTCTTTTCTCTTTTAAATCAACTGAACCAATGGTTTACTTTTTATCGTTCTCCCACCTCCTATAAAACCAGCCCTTAGTTTCATTTATTAGTTCAATGATTTTCTTAACTTTCAGTTTTTAAAATCTCCTTTGATTTTCAGGATTTTCAATTTGTTGTTTAGTTGGGGATTTTAAATCTGTTCTTCTTTTAACTTTTTTAGTTGCATGCCCAATTCATTGATCAATTCTTTCTCTATTTTAGTGATGTAAGCATTTAGAGAAATAAAATTTCCTGTAAGTACTGCTTTGGCTGCATCCCACAAATTTTGGTCCATTGTCTCATCGTTGTCATTTTCTTTGAGGAAATTATTGATAGTTTCTATGACAAGTTCTTTGACATACTCATTCTTTAGGATTAGACTGTTTCATTTCCAACTAATTTTAACCTCTCTTTCCATGACCCTTTCTTATATGTAATTTTTATTGCATCATGCTCTGAAACTGATACACTTAATATTTTTATTTTCTGCATGTGATTGTGAGGTTTTTATGCCCTAATACATGGTATGTTCTTGTGTAGGTGCATATATCACTAACAAAATGGTATATTTCTTTCTATGCCCATTCAGTTTTCTCCAGAGGTCTATCATATCTAACTTTTCTAAAATTCTAATCAGTTCCTTAAGTTTTGTCTTCCTTATTTAATGGTTAGATTTATCTAGTTCTCAGAGGGGAAAGTTGAGGTTCCCCACTAGCATATTTTTACTGTCAATTTTCTCTTGTAACCCATTTAACTTCTCCTTTAGAAATATGGATGCTATACTATTTGGTGCATATACGTTTAGTATTGATATTACTTCTTGTCTATGGTACCTTTTAGCAAGATGTACTTTTCTCCTTTGTCTCTTTTCATTAGATTTCTTTTTACTTTTGCTTTGTCTGAGATCATGATTGCTAGCCCTGCTTTTTTTTTTACTTTAGCTGAAGAATAATATATTGTGTTCTGACCTTTTACCTTTTTACTCTCTGTGTATCTCTGTTTCAAATGTGTTTCTTCTGAATAGATTGTAGGATTCTGGGTTCTAATCCACTCTGCTATCTGTTTCATCTCTATTAGTGAGTTCATCCCATTCATTATGATTACTAACTGTATTTCACTCCATCCTGTTTTTCCCGTTTATACTTTTCTTTTTCTCTCCTTTCACCCTGTCTTTCTTCACTAGTATTTTGATTCTGGCTATCCCCTCCCTCAATCTGCCATCTCTTCTTATCACTGTCTCCCCCCCCCACACTCTGTCTTAGCCCCTCTCTTCCTACTTCCTTTTGGGTAAGATAAATCTCTCTACCCAAATAAATGTGTATGCTGTTTCCTCGTCAGCCAAATCTGTTGAGATAGGTTAAAGCAATGCTTACCTCCCTCCTTTCTTTCCTTCCATTGTATTAGGTCTTTTGCACCTTTTAATGTGTTATGATTTACTCCATACTTCCTCCTTTCCCTCTTCTCCCAATGAAACCTCCTTCTTACCCTGTAGTTTTTTAATATCATCCCATCAAAGTCAATTTATACCCACAGCCTCTGTCTATGTATACTCCTTCTAACTACCCTAATAGATATAACAGTTCTTAAGAGTTACATGTATAATCTTCCCCTGCAGGGATGGAAATACTTTACTCATATTGAATAATTTATGTTTTTGCTTCCCTCTTTACCTTTTTATGACTTTCTTGAGTCTTATATTTTATTTTATTTTTCTTAAATCAAAGATAATATATATTTTTTTCCATTTCACAATTTTCAACTTCAACCGTACATTTGAATAAACATGGTTGAAGAGGTTATCTTTGCGTATGGTATCATCTCATCTCTTTTTTCTTTAAATTTCATGTTGATTTTGTCTTTTGCTCTGTAAAGTCAATGGTCAGACTGCGTATACACAGTGTGTTCTGAAATATCTTCCACAACAGTAATTAGTTGTTCTTTAAACTGCAATCAATCAATTTATTTTTTTTTCTTGATTTCTGGGCTTTCTTTTGTGATAGCTTCTTCCAGATCTCTTCTGAGAAATACAAAAGGTATTCAGAAATTCCTGAGCAGTCTAAAACTTTTAGTTCCTTTTATTTTGCAATTCCAAGTTATATTTTCTAAGATATCATTTTTCCCTATGTCCATTTTCACACCGAAGTAACCAAAAATCACAGTATGTGTTGGCTTGGTTTGAAAGATCCTCTAAAGTTTTCATAGAACTCTTCAGTTTCATCAAACCTTGTAACAGATAGCAGTGTAGAAGCTACAGTTGTCATTGTGAGGATCTCATATGAAGAGCTGATGCTCTTCATAAGCACTGCAAGTCAAGAAGGCAAATTTTCCTTGAAATGTCCAACTCTGCCTCACATAAATCCAATTCATACACTAGTCAAGACATCACTCTGTGATGTGATTGGTCTTTTTCAAAAATGAAGGACAAACAACAGCAGCAACAACAACAATAACAACCAAGCACAGTGCCTATCATATGGTAAGTGCTTAACTACTGTTTATTAATTGGTCGATTAATGTTTGATTTTCCCTGGACTTCAATCCACTGTTATTTCAGAAATTTTTATGATGAGTAGAGCTATTTGTTTCTGTCTTCTTTTTCTTTATGCAGTTTTCTTTATGGTTGATTTACTATTTTTTTAATTGTTTTGAGATTTTGGGGTTCAGGTAAATCATATTGAAACCAACTACTCCTCTATCTTGTTGATTGCTCACTCCTTGTGAGTAAGGCCTTGAAAATAGACCACTTTTTAAATTATTTTATTATTGTTATTTTTATTATTATTTAATCAAAAGGAACATTTATACCTGGGAGATCCTGTGTTCTTGTGGCAAGCACACTACATTTGGGGTTAGATGACCTGAATTAAAAACCTTATCTACGACCTCTTAGCAGTGTGACCTTGGGTTAATCATTTAAATTTTTCAGATCTCAGTTTCCTTCTCAATAAAATAAGGAAATTGGACCAGATGACTTCTGAGGTCTTTTCTTTGATTTACCTATTGTTTGCATAATACTGGGCATTACACTGATTTCGGAAATAAGGAATTGCTGTTGAACTCTTAATTTAGCTTCTCCTTTAACCCTGCTAAACCATGCTGCTTCTCTGAGTACAGAGGCAGTCATTATCGGCAGGTGGAGAAATACCATTGTGTAGTGCATGCATAGCGTACTGAATTTGGGGTGAAGAAAACAGGTTCCAATTTTACCACTAATACTTATTGCCTCTATTAACATGGTCACATCACTTAACAGCTCTAAGCCTCAAATTTCTGATTTGTAAAATGAGTTTTTAATGTTCTAGTAATGTTTTGAATACCAATTATTAATCTATGATTGTTAAACCATTTGAAGAAGTAAACGTGTTGACATTGATATTTTCATGACACACAGAATCAGAAGACAAAAGGAAATTGCAGTTAAATGGAAGGATGTACTATCTGCCAGAAGCTTTGCTAAATGATTTAAAAAATGCCATTTGATCCTCACAATAACCCTGTGAGGTAGGTGCTGTTATCATCCATATTTTACACGTTAAGAAATTGAGGCAGAAAGTAGTTATATGAGTTGCCCAGGGTTGCACAGCAAGTAAATATATGAAGTCAGATTTGAACTTAATTTTTCCTGCCTTCAGGCTCTGCACTTTATTCACTGTGTCATTAGCTGCCTCTCATAGTTCATAGGTTCTTTTTGGAAAGGCAAACACAAGACTTGGCAGAACTGATTTAACTGGAAACCCAAATGCAGTAAGAAGTTTCATTTCGAGTCTTGTATTTTAAAATTGAATTTCCTATTAAACTCTGGTGTTTTCAACAGGAAAATTTAAATGTCCCCTATTTCACTGAATATCCATTTTCCCCCCTGAGAGATTATGTTCAGTTTTACTGGGTAGTTGATTCTTGATTGTAATCTAAGCTCCTTTATCTTCTGGAATATCATATTCCAAGCCCTCTGCTCTTTTAATATAAAAGCTGCCAAACCTTGTGTAATCTTGACTGTGGCTCCTCAGTATTTGAATTGTTTCTTTTGGGCTGCTTGCAGTATTTGCTCCTTCACCTGATTTGGTTCTAATATTTCTGAGAGTTTTCATTTTGGGATTTTTCTGGAGGTGATCAGTGGATTCTTTCAATGTCTATTTCATCCCCTGGCTGTAGGATATCAGGGAAGTTTTCCTTGATACTTTCTTAAAAGATGCTGTCCATTCTCTTTTTTTGATCATGGCTTTCAGGTCATTAGTCCAATAATTCTGAAATTATCTCTCCTGCATCTATTTTCCAGGTTGATTTCCAGGTTGAGAGACAGAGAGAGAGAGAGGGGGGAGGGGAGTGAGAGAGTGAGAAAAGTATGTGTGTGTATGTATGTATGCATGTGTTGGGGTCAGGGAAAGTGGGAGCTAAAGCCTCATAGGTCCCAAGGGCTCTGAAATGGGGTCTGACTGCATCATAATCTGAACTGTAGCTCTATCTGCAGTCAGGAAGACCTGATTTCAGATCCTGTCTCTGATACTTAAAAGTTGAGTGACCCTGGGTAAGTCCCTTAACCTCTGTCTACCATTTTGGTGCCAGGCTGGGCTAATTAAACTTGATGCTGAGAAGGTTTCCCTGAGGCTCTCCTGTCTCCATTTTAGAGGAAACAAACTTGTTAGGACACACACCATCTAAGGGATATCATTTGTTATGCTACGCCTTAATGGGAAGGCATTTGATTCCAAAGAAAGAAGCAGGTCACACCAGCATGGATTATGTACATCGATTAGGCTTACTGAAGTTGATTGTGTTGGGTAAGGGAATTTACTCATGAGAACAGCCCTATGGTGGCAGCAGGACAGAGTGTTGGATCCCCACACCGCCACTGGACCAGGCCAGGTATTATGCAGAAAGAGAAAAAAGAAGGTGAAAAGCCAGGGGTGACCTCTGGTCAAGTACAAGCTTTCCCATGGGATACTTGAAGCTTCTCTTGCTGTTTTACATTACAGGTACTTTACATTCTCTGTGGGGTTATAAGTCCTGCTCCCAGACCTTTGCACCCATCATACATAAAGCTACTTGGTGAGTTCCTAACTCTGGTGGGACAATTGGAGTTTTTCCTTAGGGTGGGTGGTGAATTTAGAAGGGACTGAGCACTTGCAGAACTTCCATGTACTGAGAAAGAGCTCTTTTCTTATTCTTCCTTGGCCTCAAGGCAACTTCCTGGACAGTGACTTTGCAACAGCCTTCTGGAATCTCTGCATCTCTCCATCTAGGGGGTTCAGTGGTTAGAGTACTGGGTCTGGAGTTATTCTCTATATACTTTTATTCTCTATATGCTTTTCTGTATTTTCTGTGTCATTAGAACATAAGCTTCTAGTGGTTTGGAACTATGTCCTTAATAGTGTTTGCATCTCCAGAACCTAGCACAGTGCCTGTTATGCAAGAGGTACTTAAGAAATGCTTGTTGGTTGCTTAATTAGGCCACCTGTCTTTCTCTGTGGTCAGCACATGGTGGGAGCTTAATCTATAGCTATTGAATGAGTAAATTACTTAGCTGAAGCTCTAAGCTAGAGCAAATATTAGTGACTATAATTACATCTCCTACAGATGTCTCTCATTTATAATTTTCATCACTTATCACATTATTATTTTAATTAAGATATCTAATTCATGTATTCCTTTATATTTATTTTCAACCATGGTGTGAGGTATTGATATCCTATGAAATTTCTACCAAACTGCTTTCCACTTATACCGTCTGTTTGTTTTTTTTAAATCAACTACACACAGTTCTCATTTTGGATAAGTGGACCATTGGGCAAACCTCTAAGTAGAATGATTTTGAAGTACTGTGAATTTGCCCACAGACCTGGCTACAAGGGAGGGAGGGAGGCAGGAAGGGGTCATGCGCCTGTGAATGGAAGGAGTCCAGAGATAGTTCAAAGACACACGGTGGCCGGGGACAGAGAAACAAGAGGAGGATGAGCATCAGGCGGGTGTTGGGGCCAGCCACGTGATGGCCTGGCCAGAATTCAGAGGAAGAACAGGTAGGGGACAGATACCTGGGGGCCAGATATGGCCATAGACAGGAGAAGAGAGGCAACACATGGACAAAAGAAAGACACACGGTACCCAAATATGAATGGACAGAAGGTAGACAGATGGATGCCAGACACACAGATAAATGGACAGAGCAGCCAAATATCTCCTCCCTCAGCACTGGAGGTCTCAAGCCAAGCCCTGATGCTAAGGGTATAGTGGTGGAAGGAATCACTTGGCACATCCAAAACCCCTTTCTTACCTCCTTCTAAGCTCCCCATTCATGCCCCTTAGATTCTTGATGTCATTTAAAATTTTTTCATTGATGTTTCCTGTTTCTTACCTCATGGTATCCCACGTACCACCCCCTTTCCATCTCCTCCTCTCCTAGAGCCATGCCATATGACAAATAGTATTTTTTGTTTTAGGAGAGAAAAACAGTCAACACAACTGTATAGTACACAGAGGAAAAGATATTTGTGGCAAGAGATCCTCTTTCTGGGGACATTCCAGTTACTACAGGCTTACTCTCTGAGGAAGCACATCTAACCTGAGAACACTCAGTAGACAAGACATTTGGGGCTGAAGACACACTCTCTGAGAATATTCTACTTCCTACAGGCTTACTCTTTGTGGAAACACATCTACTCTCAGGACACTCAGAGGAAAAGATACTTGTGGCAGGAGATACTCTCTCTGGGAAAATTCCAGTTACTACAGGCTTGCTCTCTGTGGAAGCACATCTAGCCTCAGAACACTCAGTGGATGAGATACTTATAGGTGGAGACACATGCTCTGAGAACACTCAGAGGAAAAGATAGTTGTGGCAGGAGACACTTTCTCTGGGAACATTCCAGTTACTACAGACTTACTCTCTGGGGAAGCACATCTAGCATCAGAACACTCAGCAGACAAGACATTTGGGGCTGAAGACACACTCTCTGAGAACATTTTACTTACTACAGGCTTACTCTTTGTGGAAACACATCTACTCTCAGGACACTCAGAGGAAAAGATACCTGTGGCAGGAGACACGCTCTCTGGGAAAATTCCAATTACTACAGGCTTGCTCTCAGTGGAAGCACATCTAGCCTCAGAACACTCAGCAGACAAGACATCTAGGACTGAAGATACACGCTCTGATAACATTCTGCTTACTACAGGCTTGCTCCCCAATGAAAAGACCAGAGTTGAAGAGAAAATATGATGTTCAAATATAAGACTCAAAAGAAGCAGCAAAAGGTAAATATGAAAAAAGTCATAAGTGACTCAATAGGGTTCAACTTTGTACTTTTCTATAAGGGAAGATGGTATGCGTATCTTCTAAGAATTTTGTCATTATTCAAGTAGGTGGAAGGATTCTTCCTAGAAAGAGGGTATGGGAGTGAGCCAGTTAGATGGGGATAATGTAAAAGAAATGGATGGGGCAGAAATATGGATGCCCTGGGAGAAGGTAAAAGAGAGAGAAGAATGGGGGAAATGATCTCACATAAAATAGGCATGCAAGGAAGAGCTTTTACATTGGAGCAAAAAATTCCAGGGAGTGGGGCCTGGTGGGCAGCTAAAGTTTGGGCCTCACTGCCATCTAAATTAGTTCAGAAAAGAAAAATATATGTTTACTCAATTGGTCATGAAAATCTATCTTACCCTACAGGTAAGTAGTAGAAGGGGATAAGAGAAAGAAAAACTCGTGACAACAGGGTGGACAGATAAAAGAAGGCAGTGTTGATATGCAAAACAGACATTAGAGGTAGGACAGAATAAAAACCGAGAGAGAAGGAGAAACAAGAAAATAGGATGGAGGGAAATCATAGTTACTAATAGTAACTGTGTGAATGGGATGAACTCACTCATGAAATGGAAGCAGGTAGCAAAATGGATTAGAAAGCAAAATAGAATCTTAGAAAATTTAGATATGAAAGTCCTCTGGAGAAAACTGAATGGGAATAGAAAGGAGGGCAGACAGATATTGCTTTATGTAAATTCACATTATGCAAATTGGACTTTATGGAAGGAAGTTTATAAGAAATCTGCATTCCCAAAAAACCACCCATGTCATCTTTACCGTAGAGTAATGGAATCTCTTTCTGCTCCTGTCTCTCGGCTTGGAGCTCTGGCACCTCCTACCCCCAACCTCCCAAAAAGCCTTTAAAAAGTCCCCCAAATGAAAGCAGTAGGACAGACCTGCAGAGATCCAGCCATCACCACTGCTGGATCAGGGCTTGGCTTGAGACCTCCAGTGCTGAGAGAGGAGATCTTGGTTTCAGTCTGCTCTCCCCTCAAGAGTTTGGTTCCTGCTTTTTGGTATTTTGTCCATCCGTAATGTGGTACCAAGTGTCTGGCCTCTCCTGAATGTTTCCCTGTCCTGCTGCCAAGTGTCTGCCTGCCAGCATGTTCTTCCTTTCACTTCCAGCCAGGCCCTCAAGTGGCTGGTCCCATCAGCCATGTGTTTCCTGCTCCTGCACTTGCTTCTCTGAGTCCAGCAACTCCCTGTCCATGTCCTTGAACCATATGCCAGCCCCTCCTCCATGAGGGTGCAGTTCCTTCCTGCCACCCCCCTGCCCTTTTCCACATTGATGGGCAAATTCATATTAGGTAAAGGGTCTGCAAAATGGTCCACTTATTAATTTTAATATTAAATTAGTATTATATTTTTCTCCAATTACGTGTAAAAACAATTTTAACATTTGTTTTTAAATTTTTGAGTTCTGTATATTTTAGAAATGAGGACTTCATCAGAAATACTGGCTGTAAAAATTGTTTCCAAGTTTTCTGCTTTCCTTTTAATCTTGATTGCATGAGTTTTGTTTCTGCAAAACCTTTTTATTTTGAGATAAGCAAAATTATCCATTTTCACTTACTAATACGTGCTCTCTCTCTCTCTCTCTCTCTCTCTCTCTCTCTCTCTCTCTCTCTCTCGTCATGAATTCTTCTCTTCTCCATAAATCTGACAGGTAAACTGTTTCTTGCTCTTCTAATTTGCTTATGGTATCATCCTTTATGTCTAAATCATCTACCCATTTTGACCTTATCTTTGTATCTAGTATACGTAGTTTCTGCCATATACTTTTAAAATTTTCCTGGCAGTTTTTGGCAAATAGTGAGTTCTTATCCATGAAGCTGCAGTCTTTGGCTTTATCAAACAGTAGATTACTGTATTCATTTTCTACCATGTCTTCTGTATCTAACCTGTTCCACTGATCCACCAATCTATTTCTTAGCCAGTACCAAATAGTTCTGACGATTGCCTATTTATATTATATTTTTAGTTTTGACACAGCTAGGCCACTTTGCTTCACATTTGTTTTCATTTATTCCCTTCATATTATTGACCTTTTGTTCTTCTAAATTAATTTTGTTATGACTTTTTTCTAGCTCTAAGAAATAATTTTTGGTAGTTTTTTGTGGCCTGAATAAGAAAATTAATTTAAGTAGAATTGTCATCTTTATTGTATTGGCTCAGCCTACCCATGAGAAACCATAATTTTCCAATTGTTTAGATCTGACTTTGTGTGAAAAGTGTTTTGTAATTGTGTTTATATAGCTCCTGGGTTTATCTTGGCAGGTAGACTCCCAACTATTTGGAATTGAATTTCTCTTTCTATCTCTTGCTGCTGGGCTTTGTTGGTAATCTATAGAAATGCTGATGATTTATGTTGGTTTAGTTTATATCCTGCAACTGTGCTAAACTTGTTAATGATTTCAACTAGTTTTTTAGCTGAATCTCTAGGATTCTCTATGTATACCATCATATGATCTGCAAAGAGTGATAGATAGTTTTGTTCTCTCATTGCCTATTTTTATTCCTTCAATGTCTTTTTTGTTGCTAGAGCTAGTATTTCTAGTACAATATTGAATAGTAGTGGTGATAATGGGTATTCTTATTTCACCCCGATATCATTGGTTAAGCTGTTAGCTTATCCCCGTTATAGAAAATGCTTGCTGGTGGTTTTTAGAGAGATGCTGCTTATTATCTCAAAGGAAGCTCCATTTACTCCTATGGTCTCTAGTGTTTTTCCTAGGAATGGGTGCTGTATTTTGTCAAAATTTTTCTGCCTCTCTTGAGATAACCATATGATTTCTGTCAATTTTATTACTGGTATTTTCACATATGCTGATAGTTTTCCTTATATTCTACCATCCCTGAATTCCTGATCTAAATCCCACTTGGTCATAGTATATGGTCCTAGTGATATATTGCTGTAATCTCCTTGCTAGTACTTTATTCAAATTTTTTGCATCAATATTCATTTGGAAAATGGGTCTTTAGTTTTCTTTCTCTGTCTTGGCTCTTCCTGGTTTAGATATCAACACCATATTTGTGTCACAAAAGGTATTTGGCAGGTCTCCTCCTTTCCTTATTTTCCCAAATAATTTATATAGTATTGGAATTAATTATTCTTTAAATGTTGGGCAGTATTCACCTGCAAATCCATTTCAGCCCAGGGATTTTTTCTTCAGGAGTTCACTGATGACTTATTCAATTTCTTTTTCACTTCTGATTGGTGGATATTTTTGGTTTTCTGCTTAGTAATGGGCTTGGGCAGTAAGCCAATGTGATGTCCAAACATAAGTTTGTGTATTAATCATACATATGAGTCACGATATTCTCATTATGGCTTTCATCGGTCATAGTATTTTAAGTTATGGCTCTAAGATATGATTCGATATCTAAGTTATGATTTTTTTAACAGGTCACCATGTTTAGCCTTCCACCTTTCACAGAGTTCAAGTTTTTATTGCTTTTCTCATATTACTGTATTTTATGGCTTTTCCCCAATCAGGACCCTATAATCCACCCCCGAAAAGCCATCTGTACATTCTTGCTGAATATCTTCCATAAGGTCCCTGGGATGGCTCTATACTAAGGTGTTTAGGGCATTTTTGGGTACACCCAGGATGATCCCATAGGTAAGCATAAGCCACACAAGCAATATAAGCACAGATAGGAAAACAAGATGACCAATGAGAAAATTACTGCAATTGTTACAATTTTCTTCCATGCCACCCCTGGGCAAGTGAAGGAGGTGCCAATGACATTTGGGGATTGTTTAATGTAAGAACTGAAGTTCTGAACTTAGTACAGGCTAGCTGAGCTTCTGAACTAGGTTCAGAGAAAAATAAACATGGCTTGGGCAGTTTTACAACATATTGGGGGTGCCACAAAATTTAATCAGTTACAAAATGGGACCAGAACAATTTGATTTTCTCAATTTCCACCTTCTTCTCAAGGGGAGGCATGTACAATGATGATCATCAACCCACCCCCAACGTCCATTTAATTAACAAATTTCGTATTAGAACCCAGATCTCACATGTAGTTGTATGGTCTCTGGAATGTCTTTTCTTGGGGCAATCTCAAAAATATCTTGTCCTCAGGGGCAACTTTTCAGTGGAATTGTTTTTCTGGTTCCAAGTTACTGGTTGAGAATCCTTAGATGTTCCTGCTAAAATCTCAATATGAGTTAGTATAGCCTCTCAAATTTGACTTCCCTAATAACTAGTTCATACTGTAAAAACCAATTAAAACCTTAGAGTTCTGGTCTTAACAGGGAGCATCAAAGTAGGAACCCAGAATTTGCTTGAATCTTCAGAAAATTTAGGTTTTTACATGCCCCATTAGAATCATTTACATTTCACAGACAGGATTGTCTAACCTTGTTTTTTTTTTTCTCAAAAGTTTCCTCTCTGATTCCAATTCCTTTAGGAGGATCAGATGCTATTGAGGATTCAAACCTATACATGAGAATATAAGTAACAACATTCTTACAGGTAGAAGTTTTCCACTCCTGAGTTCAATAGTTATCTAAATGAATTTACCTATAAGAAGCTGACATTACTCCAATTAAAATTAAAGACTTGGGAGGATGCTTGAATAATTAATTCCAAAACAGTGCCTTTCAATAAGTTGTTTATAATAACATGTGTTTGTAACACATTAGTAATAAACTTGAATGAAATTGACTTTTCCATTAATGTAACACAAAAAAACAAAAACATTACTAAGCAGAAAACATCCTTTTACATCACTTTAAGAAAATTGATTGCACTGAAATTCTCTTCCCCAAAACAAACTGAAGGTGTTTCTGACTCCCACCCCACAAATTAATAAATTCATATCTTTGTTTCATAAACTTTTTTTAATTTTTGCCTAGTTATTCCCATATCATTCAGAATGGATGAGTTATTTCAGGGATTTCACTTAACATCTTCCACTTTTTTTTTTTTTAGGCAATTAGGGT